ATAGCTGGTTTTTTGAAAAGACAGACAAAATCAATAATCTTTATAAAGAAAAAAGACTCATCAAGAAAAAAAAAGACCCAAATAAATAAAACAAGAAACTAAGAGAAGTTACAACTGACATCACAGAAATACAAATTATAAGAGACTACCACAAACAATTATATGCCAACAAATTGAAAAAACAGTTTTCCACTGGACAAAGAAATGGACAAAATCCTAGAAACACACAAGAAGAAAACAAATTCCTAGAAACACACAACCTTCCAAGACTGAAACATGAAAAAATAGGAAATCTTGAATAGATCAATTACAAGTAATGAAATTGATTCAGTAATTTTAGAACTCCCAAAAAACAAAAGTCCAGGACTAGAGAGCTTTACAGGTGAATTTTACTAGACATTTAAAGAAGAATTAATCCCTACCTTTCTCAAATTATTCCCCCCCCCCAAAAAAAAAAAAACTGAAGGGGAAAAAAAAGAGAAAAAAAACTGAAGGGGAAGTAACAATTCCAAACTCAATTTATGAGGCCAGCATTACCTTCATACTAAAATCAGATAAAGATACCACAAAAGAAATAAAATTTCAGGCCAATATCCTTGATGGACATAGATGCAAAGATCCTCAACAAAATATTAGCAAACCAAATTCAACATAAAGGATCAAATTGCATGATCATGTGGGATTTATTCCAGGGATGCAACGATGGCACACCACCTGCAGATCAGTCAATGTGATATATCACATTAACAAAACAAAGGATACGGGATCCCTGGGTGGCGCAGCGGTTTGGCGCCTGCCTTTGGCCCAGGGCGCGATCCTGGAGACCCGGGATCGAATCCCACGTCAGGCTCCCGGTGCATGGAACCTGCTTCTCCCTCTGTCTATGTCTCTGCCTCTCTCCCTCTCTCTCTCTCTGTGTGTGTGTGACTATCATAAATAAATAAAAAATTAAAAAAAAAACAAAGGATAAAAATCATATGAACATCTAAATAGTTGCAGAAAAAGCACTTGACAAAAATCAATGTCCATTTTTACCCTCCTGGCCACTAGGCACCATGACAGCTAGCCTGTGTAGCCCAAGGAAGGTCCTTCAGGCATTTGTCTAGATAACCCTCCTTGGGGTCCTAGCCATGAGGCCAAGAACTCAGCTGGAAGTGGAGGCCTGTATGTAGGTCCTGGAGGGAGATCATGCTGTGGGATTGTCCGGGCCCATGGAAGGAAGGGGGGTTCAGGGGAGCGGCAGGGGGAGCTTATAGCAGGAGAACCAAAATGTAGGTGGCCCTTGTCTCACTCCAGCACTTGCCCTGGGTGGTACAACACCCACTTATTAAAAACTCCCAACAAAGTGGGTATAGAAGGAATGTACCTCAAAAAAAAAAAAAAAAAAGGATGTACCTCAATCAACCTAACAGAGGCTATATATGACAAATCCACAGCTAACATCATGCTAAATGGCGAAAAGCTAAAAGCCTTTCCTCTAAGATCAGGAACAAGGTAAGGATCCCCACTCTTGCCATTTTTATTCAACACAGTACTGAAACCCCTAGCTACAGCAATCAGACAAGAAAAAGAAAAGGCTTGATTCAAATTGGTAAGGAAGAAGTAAAACTGTCATTATTTGCAGATGACATGACACTATATACAGAAAACCCTAAAGACTCCACCAAAAACCTATTAGAACTAATAAATGAATTCAGTAAAGTTCCAGAATACAAAATTAATATATATAGAACTTGGTTTGCATTTCTATATACTAATGAGCTATCAGAAAGAGAAAGGAAGAAAAAAAACTTATTTAATTAAACTGCATCCTCCCCTCCCCCCCCCCAAAAAAAAAACTGGAGATAAATTTAACGTAGTAGGTTAAAGTAGGTTTCAGTACTCTGAAAACTGTAAGAATATTTATTAGGGCGGGGCACCGGGGTGGCTAAGTTGGTTAAGCATCTGCCTTCGGCTCAGGTCACAATCCCAGGGTCCTGGGATCAAGCCCTACATCAGGCTCCTTGCTCAATGGGGTGCCCCCTTCTCCCTCTCCCTCTGCTGTTCCCCGTTTGTGCTCTCTCACTCTCTGCCAAATAAATAAACATTTTTTTAAAATATTTTATTTATTTATTCATAGAGACAGAGGGGGGGAGGGGGGCAGAGACACAGGCAGAGGGAGAAGCAGGCATCATACAGAGAGCCTGAGGTGGGACTGGATCCAGGGTCTCCAGGATCACGCCCTGGGCTGCAGGTGGCGCTAAACCGCTGCACCACCGGGGCTGCCCCAAATAAACATTTTTTAAAAAGGATATTTTTGATGAAAGAAATTGAAGATAACACAAATAAATGGAAACATATACTCACATATTGGAAGAATCAATATTGTCAAAATGTCCATACTACCCAGATTCAATGCATTCCCCATCAAAATACCAATAACATTTTTCACAGAATTAGAACAAATAATACTAAAATTTCTATGGAACAACAAAAGACCCCAAATAACCAAAGCAATCTTGAGAAAGAAAAACAATGTGGAGGTAATACGCTCCCTGATTTCAAACTGCAAGCTATAGTTATCAGGACAGTATAGTACTGGCACAAAATAGACACATAGGTCTATTTTGAAAATAGAAAGAGAGCCCAGAAATAAACCCACATTTATATGGTCCATTAACCTATAACAAAGGAGGCTAGATATACAATGGAGAAAAGACAGCCTCTTCAATAAATGGTGCTGGAAAAACTGGACAGCCATATGCAAAAGAATGAAACTGGGTCACTTTCTTACACCATACACAAAATAAACTCAAAATATCAAAATAACTCAAATACAGTTTAAAACTTGAATGTAATACCTGAAACCATAAAACTGCTAAAAGAAAATATAGGTAGTAAGCTCTTTGACATTGCTCCTAGTAATATTTTTTTGGACTAGTCTCCCAAGGCAAGGGCAACAAAAGCTAGAACAAACAAATATAATTACACCAAACTAAAAAGGTTTTGCACAGTGAAGGAAACAAAATAAGAAGGCAACCTACTGAATGGGAGAAGTTATTTTCAAGTCATACATCCAGTAAAGGGTTAATATCCAAAGTATATTAAGAACTTACACGTGGAACTCGATCCCGGGTCTCCAGGATCAGGCCCTAGGCTGAAGGTGGTGCTAAACCGCTGAGCCATCCAGGCTGCCCAAAATGTCCGATTTAAAAATGGGCAGAAGATAGGAACAGACATTTCTCTAAAGAAGACATACAGATGGCCAACAGTCATATCTAATCATCAAGGAAATGCAAATCAAAACCACAATGAGACATCAGCTCACACTAGGCAGACTGGCGATTATCAAAAAGATAAAAAAATAACAAGAGTTGATAAGGATGTGGATAAAAGGGTCCCTCATACACTGCTGGTGGGCATGTAAATTGGTGCAGCCACTATGGAAAAAAAGTATGGAGGTTCCTCAAAAAATTAAAAATAGAAGTACCATATGATCCAGCCATTCCACTTCTGGGTATTTATCTCAAGAAAACAAATACCAATTTGAAGAGATATCTGCACCCCTGTGTTCACTGCAGCATTATTTACAATACCCCAGATATGAAAGCAATCTAAGTGTGCATCAATAGATGGATAACAAAGATGTGTTGTATATATGAAATATGACTTAGCCATAAAAAGAATAAAATCTTGCCATTTTGACAACGTGGGTGGACCAGAGGGCATTATGCTAAGTGAGATAAGTCAAACAGAGAAAGACAAACACAACATGACTTCACTTATATGTGGAATCTAAAAAACAAAACACATGTTATGTGTCAATGACATTTCATTAAAGCTGGAAAAAACAAAGACTCATGAGTTGCACAGCTGGATTAAGTCCTAGACTTCCGGTCTCAGAGCTGACTATAAAATAAACAAACTACATTTATTTGTCCTTTTCTCTAGTGACATTTAGTTTGTTTGCAATTTCCCTACCATGAACAGGTTTCGGGGACCATCAGTGTGTCTATCTCCCTTTGCATTTATACAACAGTGCCTGAGGGTATATACATCAAGTAGAATAGTGATGGACTTCTTTTTTGTTTTTTGAAAGCAGAGCCGATGTTATTTAAAGTTTTTCTTCTTCCCTGCAGAAAATTCTTTTGATAGAATATATGTTCCATGAAGGCAGGAATTTTTGTTTTGTTTATTGCTCTATTTATTGCTCTATTCTGAGCAAACAGAAGAATATCAAGCACATGAGAGATATTCAATAAATATCTGCTGGATATATATATGAATGATTCTTGAATATTAGACTCCGTTGCCTTAATTATGCAAACGCCTTTTATACAGCCCCAAACTGTGTGAGGAGAATTTCTAGTTACTCATCTTTGTACATTGAGAATTTTACCCAAACCTTGGATTTACCTCCCAAAGGATTCTTCTTGGATTCCAGCACTTTCTCTGATGTTATTGGTATTCTCCTCAAGGACTTTAAACTGGGGTGGGGGGCAGGGGTGGGGGTGGGTAAGGAACAAGTTCTATGACTCAACAGCCTGAAGAGAATGGGGTGGGAGCCACAGCAGTAAATGACCTGGGACATTCTCCCCCAAGTCTGGTGTGGCTTGACCTTCTTGGCGCTGCCAAACACCGTGCCAAGGTTCAGCCTTGCCCTTGCAGAGATGGAGCTCAACCTCTGCCAGCCCCATGGACACTATCAAGCCCCAGCGGCTAAGAAGACTCCAGCGAAGAGTTCCCAGACTGTCCTACCACTCCCTCTTGCCCTTCCCCTTGCTGCCTCTGAAGTAGGGCATGTTCATCAGATCCAAAACCAGACTCAGCCCTCGAGTGCCAGTGTGGTCCCATTCCACGTTATCTGGAAGAACTTCCTTCCTCTTGCATGTGAATAGCTCCCTTCTGTAGAATCTAGCCACAGTACTGGTTTCCTCTGTTTCTATTGTTGGTCAATTCTGTGGTGCTCAGAATGGGAAAAAGAACCAGAAGCACACCTACCTCTGTGCTAACTTGTCTTCAGCTGTGTTTTCCAACATGTCATAAGTCAGTTACAGACAACAGAACAGTGGTTGAATAGGAAAACTGTCACTTTAGGCTCTTTTTTGACTGCTGCTTCTATGTGAAAGCAACTGCATCTTTGATTCTAATTTTTAAACCTCTTTTTAGTGTAACTACTGGGTGGTGGAAATGGCACATCCCATGTCTTCACGTGTAAAACACAGGAATGGTTTTCTTGTGCTCTGATGGAAGAGGACTTTGGAGGGGGTGGCTGTACCCCTTTTTTTCTCTTGTCTATTTTCTACAGCCCATTCATTGTTTTACAACTAACTCTCTTTAGGTGAATAATCTTCTGTTTGCTTTTGTGCTTACTCAAGACCCATGCCAACAACTGAGAGGACAACTGAGCAGACATCTTGTAGAAAGCTCCTGGAATTAATAAATCCAGCAAATATTTAGTGATGTAGGACTACAAGGTGCCAGAACTTCTCTCAGAAGCTGAAGAGAAAACATTTTCCCATTTCAGAACTTAAAACACATCTCATCTCACAGAGCTTACCTCCTACTAAAAGAAATAGATAATAGATAAGCATCTGTCAGGTGGTGCTAATGTAAGGGAGAAAAAAAGCCAGAGTACAGAGCAAAGAATGTTGGAAAGGCATAAGGTTAGGAAGTAGAGAAACCCCCTCTCAGACCTGCTGCTTCATCATACCCTTAAGAAGTGTGGAAAAAGAACACTGAAACCTCCTAGCTATATAATCATACCTCAACAAGATTCCCTAGTTAACTGTGAAAAGTGGATGTAGGTGTGTTTGTTCATGAACATGCCTAGTAAGGTAAGACCACTTTGTGTATTATGAAATCTGGACTCTTTGAAGCAAATGTGTAATCCTCTGATCCTAACGTCCTCACTTATAAAATGAAATTAACTGTATCGTAGAGTTATTGTAAAGATCCAATGAGCCAGCATATAAGAAGTGCCAGGCATACAGTCAGCACTTAATAAATGTGGGCTTTCTTTCCTTTCTCTCTCCCCCTTTCCCAGGCTCTTACCTTGATAAAAACAGCCTTCTCCCCCAGCCATAATGATGCAACAGAGATCCTTACAAAAGAACAATTAGAAATTAGATCAGTTTTTCCTTATTGTACTATTTCCTCAATTCATAGAGCCTTTAATCTCTTTAAACAACTTGGAGTGAAGACAATTTCTTATTGGGTTCTTCTAGAGTCTGAATGGGCCTAGAATGGTGCCATAATATAGAAAAGAGTTCACTGAAATGCCATGAGGGAGGGAAGGAACTAGATTGAATTACAAATGTCCTATCATGAGAGCCGGTGAAGAAGGGGCTTTAGACCCTCCAGAGTTGGGTGTTGATGACATCTCTCTCCAACACATCATAATCAGGATAAATATGAATACTTACTAAAAAATCTAATTGAGCACCTGGGTGGCTCAGTCAGTTAAGTGTATGCCTTTGGCTCAGGTCATGATCTCAGGGTCCTGGGATTGAGTCCCACACCGGGCTCCCTGCTCTGTGGGAGCCTGCTCCTCCCTCCTGCTTGTGGTCTCCCTCACTCTCTGTCTCAAATAAATAAATAAAATCTTCAATCAATAAATAAAATAAAAAAATCTAAGTCATCCCCTCCTATTGTCCCCAGTGGTACCACATTAATAAAGAAAATAAATTCCCTCGTGGTGTGTGTGTGTGTGTGTGTGTGTGTATATATATATATATATATATATATCAAAAGAAACATATCATCATGACAAATAATAAAATGTGGCTTGAAATCAAGGTAAACTCAGCCCCTTTAATAAAGGCCATGTACGTGTTTTGGGTTTTTTTTTTTTTTTTCATCAAATAGATCAAAACCAACCTTCCTCTTTCAGAGTCATTCCCACTAGCCTCTTCATTCCATGTAGAAGTAAAGGCTCTGGAATAGAAATAAGTCATCCCTGTGACCTTGATCAAGATGTCTAACTTCTCAGAGCTTGGTTTCTCGGGCTTGGACTACGGGAACTTCTTGTGCATGTCCTGAGATTCTTCTATGAAAACATTCTTTCCCTTTCACTTCTTCCTCTATTTCTATTGCTTCTCTAATCATAAACCACACCTGCAATACTATACCGCTCCAATTCAGCAGGGTGTTCTTCCACTATCCCAATGGCTCTGGGACCATGGTGATGGTGAATCTCCTGGATAGTTGGACAGCCTTTCTAGCAAGTAATTATAAACACACACTGCATTGTATATTCTTACTCTCTGTGAAACATTTATAAGTCCTTATTCATCCTAACCTCCAGAGAGAGGTATCGTTAAGGACTCTCCACAATGAAGAGAGGAGATTTAAAACCCACCTGAGGAAAATCATTAAAAATATAAAAGGCTAGTAGTTTCTCCAAGTAGGCCTAAGTGAATAAAGATCTGATATGTCACCTACCTGATACTTTATTTTCATATACAGAGACTTGGAATACTACAAACTTTATATTTTAACTTTACTTTGATTTACGAGAGTCCTGCTGACCAGGGGCGCTGTGGAGCACAGGATGACTTGGGATCTTAACTACTCACCATTTAGCTAACCTAACTGATCCCCTCTTCTCAACTGCTTGCCATATTTCACTGTATTCGCTTGTAAAGTATACCTTCATCCTCATCTCTGTCTTATCATTGCATTACATCAGGAAAGCATCCCCTCACTTCCTTGGAAAGCTCTAGTGCCAAAAAACGGAAAGCTGTTTCTCTTGATGGAAAATTTCATGTTATGTGGAGACATGAATAAAAGACAAGACAGCTGTCAGCAAGCACCCTTTGAGCCTAACTGAATCCATATAACAATGGTGCCAAGAGGAACTGGAATATTGCAAAGGATGCAACATGTACTAGAGTGTGGTTCTCAGACTTTGGTTGATGTGCAAAGAGTCAAAGAAATTCCAGGGTACTGACATAAAGTTGACAACATTTTTCATACATGGCCTTAAAAACAAAAGGAAAAACTACCCTCTTCTATTGTCATTTCATTTCAAATGGACAATCTATGTAGTGGAATATTATTCGGACATAAAAAGTAATGAGGTTCTAATATAGGCTACGACATAGATGAACTTTGAAAACATTAGGCCAAGTGAAATAAGCCAGACACAAAAAGACAAATACTGTATGATTCCACTTACATGAGGTATCTAGAGTAGTCAAATACGTAATGATGGAAAGTAGATCAGAGGTTACCAGGGGATGAGGAGTTATCGCTTCATGGGTAGTTTCTTGAAATAGATACTGGTGATGGTTGCACAACATCATGTAATTAATGCCACTAAATTGTACACCTAAAAAATGGTTATAATGGTTCAAAAGGGGGACATTTTCACACACACACACACACACACACACACACACACACACACACACAAACACACGGTGCAAAGCACAGAGGTAAACAGATCATCCACAGTAGCTTTCATTGATGTAAGAGGAAAGGACAGATGCAGATCCAGGTGAGTTTGTCAGTTCAGCTGTGGAAACAGATATTCCTGGATCATCTGCTGAGAGTGAAAGGGTCTTGGGGTTGGCATCCTATTTCTTCTACCAACTTGGTACTTCTTTGTGCAGGTTTTGGTGTTCCCCGTGATCTGGCCCTGAGTTTATCTAACCAACACATTCACTAATTCAAACCATCCACTTCAGCCAAGCCATTCTCCTCACCAGCTGAGTAGACCACCCAGCTGTCTCTCATCTCTATCTTCTTATTCATGTTGCTAATGCTTTCCATTGTTCAGCCACATCCTTCCCATTTTCAAGGCCAGTTCAAGAACCATTTCCACATGGAAGACATTATCTCTTCCATAGTTTTCCTACCCCCCTAATCATTCTCAGTGACTTCGCTGGCCTTGAATACCAACAGCATATAAAATGTTCTTCCTTGTTAGAACTTACCCATAGCAGTGTATTAATTATTGTTTTCCACTTACTAGTCATTTGTAGGCTCCTTCTCTTAATCTTATTTACTAAGCAAGTACTAATAGTTTTCAAGTACCCAGCAAATACTATTATTGTTGATTAGTGAATAATAATTAACAATTGTTGGTAGTTAAGTAGCCCACGCGTTCCACAGTACTTTCACACATATAATTATGGGATCATTGTTTACCACAGCCTCTTAAATCCCCACAACAAACTTATTAATGAAATATTAGCTCCATTTCAGTGAAAAAGAACCTGAGGTTTTGAAGAATCAAGTGGCTCACGCTAGTTCACATGCTAATTAACAAGTTAATAATTAATATTATATTTAATAACAATTAGAATCAATCTTGTGTATTAAGAAATTTCCTAATATATGTCCAACTGAGAATAAACATAGGAAAAAAGACTTTTTATATAGAAAATGATACATTTATTTTGTTATTTAATAAATGTTTTGTCACACAACCTGAGTCCATTTAGCCATCTTATTTCACAAAACTATTTTCAACTTTAAAAAGTTATTTTCACCTTTAAAAAGTTAACAAGTAATACATATTTGTCATGGAAAAATGAGAAAATAAGTCAGGGGGAGAAAGTCCATAATCCCACTATCTAAAGTCAACAACTACCAACAGATAGCTTTCCACACATTTGTCTCTAAGTCTATGTAGACCCCCTTTCTTTGAATAGAAAATGGAATTTTTGTGTAGAGAGATAGATAGCTTTGCTAATAGGCTTTTTAACTTAATGATGGGAATTAATATATTTGTATGTCAAATACATCTATGGTCCCATTAATGACAGCATGACTTGTAAGCTACTCCTCTATTTTTATATGTTTAAGTTGGCTCACATTTCTTCTATCATATAAAAAAGCTCTGTGATGAACATGTACTTGTCCAATTATTGCCTAAGGATGAATTCCTAAAAGTAGGACTTACAGGTCAATGATAAACTATTTTTGAATTTTTTTTTTCATGAAATAGAGGTGATAAGACAGATTTAGGGGGCATGCTAAGTTTTTAGTATTCTGTTGTACTCAAAACTTTCTTAAACCTGATAAAACTGTTTTTTAAATATTTCCAAAGAATTTAAATAGGTGGTTTCAACATCCCAGCCCCTTCAAACTATAAAAACATACAGGTAAAAAGCACAGAAATCTAACATTGATTTGGAAGACACAACATATCCTAATTTCAATAACATTTTTATTATATCTTTAATAAAATGAGAAAAGCAGGAAGAAAGATGAACCCACATTTGTAAAAACGATCTCCTCCAATTTTTAAAAACTTTTTTTTTATTTTTCTGATTCAAAAAATACATATTCGTTATAGAAAATTTGGAAAATACAGAGAATAAGGAAAATAGAATTTCCCAGAATCCAACAATACTTCAGATAGCCTTACAGTTTTACTACTTTCTCCACGTGTACTTTTTAACAATTAGCCAGTTTTCTTCTCACCTCACCCGACCCCCCAGGAAAAAGGGGAAGACAGGTCCTTGAGGGTCACGGCGGGTGACGTTCGCCGCACCACTTGATCCTGGCTGAAGGCTTCCCTTCTTGCTGAGCTGTGCCCTGTTTCCCTTCTTACTTCCCAGATTGCTACACAAGTGCACAAGCCACCATCCCCACCACCACCACCAAAGCAGGGCCAAGGCTCCTCTGCCTCCAGAACTCCCAACAGGAGAACTCACAAAGTCAACCTCCAGCTGCCTGCTTCATTTCAGAGCCAGGCTTCTCCCCAGTAACACCTTGAAGATTTATCTCCGCTGATCAACATCTGAAGCAGCAACGAATACCTCGTAAAATATATACAACATTTAAAGTTTAGCAAGTTCTCTCACACACATTTAACCTCTGCGAGAGTCTTCTGAAGTGGACAGAGCAGACATCCCCATGTAACAGAAAAGGAAACTTAGGTGCAGAGGAGCTGAGCAAAAGGCCAAAGGAAGTGAGTGGCAGAGCTTGGATTTGAAGCCATAAATTGACTCCAACGTCAGAGAGCTCTTGACCTAGCCATTACTAACAAACCATTCTTAAGACTGACAAGTAGAAATTAAGAGCCAGAGGGATCTTCAATAAATCACCTAATCTAATCCCTTCTTAGTAGCCATAGATAAGGAAAATAAGTCCCAGAGAAGCTAGGTGATTGCTGAAAGTCACCAGCTTTCGTGATGAAGAGGATCTAAAGGCACAATCTTCAGACTCCCAGGCCAGTGCTCACTCCAGTCGTCCCTAGAGAGATGTTCTTTAATAAGCTGGTCTCTCATCCGGTGTCTTCCCGTTAGCCAAATGTCAACCAGGAATTAAAATCCTAAAAGTGTAGAATGTTAGAGCCAGAAGGGACCTTAAAGACCGCCCAGGCCAACCCACTCGCTTTACAGATGAGGAATCTAAGGTTCAACATCCCACGGATTTGATGTTCAATTCTATGCACTTTTCCTTCCACTTGTCATATCACTTCCCTTTTAAGTAGTTAAAAACAAAATCTGGCCAAAGATTTTACTTCCTTCTTTGACACTCAGCGTGCCACAGGCCATGGATCAGCAAAATCAAAGTGAAACTAAATGGGACTTGAATTCAGAAGATACTCAGTTTGTAACAGATGTACCCACCAGGACTGTGTCACAAAATACCCAAGTTCTGCTGATTTCTAATCAGGCTCCCCCACTCCCCACCCTCCCTCCCTAATCAGAGAGGCCTGTTGAAATCCATGTGTTTTAGGAAAGGGTGCCAATGACCCTTTGGAAGTCACCACCCCTTTAATCTGTAAAAATGTAGCAATACTGTTTTTGCTAAAGGCTTGACTCCAACCAATCAGCCAGGAATCCTAATTAAACTGGCAGCACATCACCGGGGCTGTCACAGTTCCCTGACCCCAATGGATTCAGACCCTGCTCCCACCGTCTTTGTGTATCACCCGGATCAGCTCCTGAATGTACGCCTCCTTGATTGTTCTGTAGCAGTTCCATGGTTCTATGGCTAGCCTCACTTCTCTAATGAGATGGAAAGCTCTCTGAGGGCAAGAGGCTCCTTCTACCGCCCCTAGCTTCAAGGACCTTGAAGAAGGATACACAAAGCCATGTGCAAAACCCAGCGCAGTCACAGAGGTGTAAACAGGAAGCCAAGGAGCCCAGAGGGCGAGCACCTACCGGTGGGGAGGGGTAGCTGCTGGGCAAAGTGACAGATCCGAGTCTTAAAGGGCTAGTGGAATCAGTCGGGCAAAGGTAGGCGGGCGGCAAGCCAGGCAGGCGGGCCAGCGTCAGCAAAAGCAAGGAGAGAAACAGTTCAACGTAGCATCTAGTGCAAAGCGGGGGCTGTGGGCATCAGGCTGCAGCGGTGGGCCACAGGGAGGCGGCAGGCGACGGGCAGGCGACCAGCCCGCGTATCTCCCGCTGACCCGTGCCGGGAGCGCGGCTTACGCAACTCGCGAATTTGGGCGCCCGAGCCGAGGCTCTGCCAACGGCCTCCCGCCGCGGCCGCGCCGGCCCCTCCCCGAGCACCTGTGCACCTTCGCAGCTGCCAAAGCAAACGCGGGGCTGCTTGATTCCGCTAGATTCTCCGCGCGGGCCGCGCCCCCCGCCCCCGCCCCCTGGCCCCGCCCCCTGCCCCCGGCCCCCGCCCCCGGCCCCTGCCCCCGCCCCCGGCCCCGGCCCCGGCCCCGGCCCCCTCGGGTCTCCGCTCTGGTTTAAACGCCTGTGGACGCTCCGTGGCGGGCGCCTGCGCTAGCGAGCGGCCCGCGGTTCTCTCCGCAGTCGCCGCCGGGGCTCCTGAAGAAGACTCCCTGCGGGCCTGCGGGCCCCGGCGGGGAGGCTGGGGGGCTGCGGGCTGGGGGCTGCGGGCTGGGGGCGGCGGGCTGGGGGCGGCGACGGCTCCCTCCGCGGCTGGCCCGGGGCCCGGCTCGGCGGCCGGGCAGGGGCCGGTGCCCTCCGGGGCTCGCGCAGCGTGGAGACCGGCAGGACGGGCCGCGGCCGCGCGGGCACCGGGGGCGGCGCAGGCTCCCCCGCAGCCAGGCTCGGGCCGGGGCCGGGGCCGGGGCCGGGGCCGGGGCCGGGGCCGGGGCAGGAGCCGGGCGGACGCGGTGGCGGGGCGCGGGCCGGGGCGGCTCGGGGCCGGGGCTCGCTCGGCCGCGGTCCGCGGTTCCCGGTCCGCGCCGGCCCCAGGCCGTTGCCATTACCTGGCCAGCGTAGTTTTCCCCGAGCCCGGGAGGCCTCGCAGGAGGTAGAGGTGTTTCCTAAAGCTGTGGCGGCGCGGAGGTGTCCCACGCGGGGGCGGCGGGGCTGGCGGCCGAGGCTGCTGCTGCTGCTGCTGCTGCTGGAGGCTCAGCCTCCCAAAGGATTCAAGGAAACTCTCCTCCATGGGGTGGGGGCTGGCTGCGAGAGCCCCGGGTTCCCTTTCCTGAAGTCACGGTCTTGGCCAAAGCTGTTGTTTTTGTGGCTCTCCGGCCATGTGATAGATGGAGGGGCGGGCGCTCGGAGCCCAGCCCCTCCCTCCCTCCCGCCCGAACCGCGCTGCGTGGGAGGGGGCGTCCCCACCTGGAGAGCCCGGGGCGCCGGGAGGCCGCAGCGCGGAGAACCCGGGCGCGCCCCGCACCCCCGCCCCCCGCCCCCCTGCCCCGCTCCGCGACCCCGCTCCCCCGCCCTGCCCGGTGGGACCCTAGGACGCTTCCCTGGGCCTCCGGCCTCGGAAGTCAGGCCCTCTGCCACAGCCCTTCTCCACCCCACCCCGACTGGCCCAGACCTTGAAAGTGAAAACATTTCGGTCGACGATTAAACAACTGTGAACCGCATTCTGAATAGTAACAGTAAAGTCCATTGTCTCCCCCGGTTTATGAGCACCAATATCTGGCTAGTGTCCCGGCGGCTAACACGCTGTCCCAGGGCCTGTAACGTTTCTTTCCCTTTTTTTTTTTTTAATCCTTCTTTAGCCTGCCAAAAATATTCTTAGAAAGCTTTGTTGCCTCTACGTAACTTTAAATCTCATCATCAGAAAAATGCACCCCTTAAAACTCAGACTGATCTGGCCACAGCTGCAAAAACTAGGTCTCCTGAGAAGAACTATACTGCCCAGGTACTTGCTCTGCTGCCACCTGAAAAGATACGGCCTCTCTGGAACTCTTTCAGCTCCCCAGGGAAAGAAGCAGTCTACTGAAATCATTTATAGAGAAGTATCCAGAATGAAGTTCTAAGTTCCAGGAACTGATGAGCTCCAGTTGGTTGATCACCATAGCACTCTCCAATATTTCACACTCAAGGGTGTGATAGAGCGATCCTATTTTCTGAACCAAAATTCAAGATGCATGGACAGAAAGAGACAATATTGAAAATACCATGCTGGAAAAATCCAGCGTATATGGTGGCTTTGGCTGTAATAATTAACTGTAAAGTAAATACGTTTTGTTTCTGGCAGCTAAGGTATGAACATTTTGAAAAGGAATTGTGAAGAGAAGCAATTTCCTTCTGAAACAAAATCCAGAGATTTCACAATAAACTTTGGAAAGAAGGGCTCAAGTAGGGAGGGAGGGGTCTGTGCTGAGAATTGTACCTTCCCCCCTGGGATTCCCCTGGAGAGGTGGGGCAGGGAGATGACCTGCTCTCCCTTGAAAATCCCTTCCCAGAATCAGAGGAAGGATCTTGGCACTGCTGAGAAAACAAGAATTTCAAAGGCTTCTCTATATATTAGGGGAAAACCATAAGGAACAGATAACAGGCATGACTCATAAAAATAGTGATGCTTTAATATAGGTATCCTCTACTTCTATGTATTCTATATACTTCTTATAAGAGTTTTTGCCCACCCTCAAATTACTACCTTTTTCATTCTAGACTTGCACTGTACGATACAGGCTTTTGAATGCTTGAAATGTGGCTAGTGCAAATCGAGATTAAAATACACACACATGAAAAAAATGTAAAATATCTTAGTAATTTGTATATTGACTGTGTTGAAATAGTAGTATGTTGGTGTGTTAATACAGAATTAAAGTTAATTTCACTTGTTTCTTTTAGCTTTTCTTAATGCAGCTACTAGAAAAGTTTAAATTACATATGTGGCTGGTTTATTTCTATTAGTGCTGCATGAGACCTCCATCTATTTCTATTTCCTTCTACAGAGAAGGCCCCAGGCAATGTGGGAAACGGCATGGGGGGGTGCTAGAGATTTGGGGGTCTAGAGGTTTTGGCATATGGAGTCTGCAGTGTCTGTGGCAGATGGAACACCCTAGTAGAGGCTGAGAAATAGGAGTGTTGCTCAGAAGAGAGGTCTGAGCTAGAGACAGCTTTGGGAATCCTTTCCAGGTGAGAAGATAGATGATAGAGCAGACAGCTGAAGACGGGGCACTGGACACACCAGTATTTAAGTACTGTGTCTTTGAAGTGGAGTTGCCAAAGGAGAGTATAAGAGAATGATCAGCAAAGCAGACATAACTCTGAAACAGAGAGAGATGTATGGAGGCCCAGGGAAAAAGAGCTTCAAGGAGGAGAAGATGGTCAGTAACACCTGGAAGTGACCCTACACACTTTTCTTTCAAGCCCCGCATTTAACTAGTCGACAAACTCTGGCTGTTTTTCTGATTTAGTCCTCTAAACCACACTGTTTAAAGTTATCTGTGTTTCTGTATCCCCCCACTAGACTGTATAAGTAGGAACAGTCACCCCAAGATCTAACAACACCACCTGGGATTCAGGAGGTGCTCAGTAAGTGTATGTGGACCTGAGCCACTTTCTCAATAGATAAGTGTGAGCTTGGGATTTACTAAATATTAAGAATAAACAAAGATCGTGGTAATGTCAGCCAAAGAGTAAACTGTAAGTAAACACGTTGACGGATCAGAGATCCAGCTTGCTATTAGCTGCATTCAGATCTTTACTGTTTCTCTCTGGGTGGCAGCTTCCAGAGAGCTGGGCTACACCCAAGTCAGAGGATCCCTGCGATAACACTCCTTAGTGCCCTCATTTCATCCAACCAACTTTTCAGCTTGAGGGTTCCATTCCATGTCTCGCTCATGTGATGACCAGCACAATCTGACTTTGCTGCACTAGAAACTATTAGCATGACAGGTGTAAGGAAAATTATATAAGTAACTTTTGGCAAATGCAACCTTCAAATATTCCTCTAATCACTACTGCTTTAAAAACATGGGAAAATAAGGAGGTACACAACAAGAACTAGTGGAAACCAGGAATGTAACCCTCAAACCTACAGTTCCAAATAACTCAGGATTTAGAACGCTTATTCGTAAATCAGCCCCCGGTTTCTACCCCAGCGATACCAAGATGGCAGGAAGTCTGAAACCAAGATGGAGCTTCCAAAGCAGTTTAACCAAACGCCCTTTTAACATAGTAGAACCATTTAAAATATGTAGGCAGGACCTATCCCAATCCTCTCTAATCCTATGTCTTTTCTTTCCCTACCAAAAATTTTCTGATGTTTTTACTCAAAAATATAAATTAGTCTTATCCACATATATGCTCCTCCTGGTATATATAACTGGTATAAATGGAAAGGACTGGAAAGAAGTTTAGCTTTGCCTGCTTAGCTGTTTCTGTGGTGGACTCCGGATTGCTCTAGCACCTCCACTTGCACCTGCTGCCACAGATTCTGCACAATCTGACCAGTCAGAGATAGGACTTTGTCCCTCTCTACTAACACTGCTCCCTCCTGGCTCTTCCCTCATCCTCCCTTAGAAGCCAGATGGAAGCTGCAGGAAGCTAGAAGTTAGGGAAAGGGGGACAAGGGAAGAGAAACAATGTAGCAGGTATATGTCTACTTGGTTGAATTAACAGGACATGCACAGGACTCTGGTGGCCTGGGAGAAGTCTGCCATGTGGAACGTTCTCTGGACAAGCCTGATTTTGCTCACTGTACCCCACCTGCCTCTACCTCCCACAATCCATTCCTTATTTTTTTAGTGCCATACCCCTTCCCCAAGGTGAGGACCATATCTTCTTTTCCACAGCACCTATTTCACTAGCCACAAGGGCACTTGAGGACTATAAGCTTTAAGGAGGAAGCCTGGGAGCAGGAGAAAGTGGCCCCAGCCCATTTTTCTAAAGTTCCATCTTGGAAATTAGGGCAAGATAATAAAGATAGGGGCTGGAGTAAGCTGGAGACATTCTGGATCCCAAGTACAAGCCTGGATAGATGGTCACCTGCTTTGCATCAGTACAGCATAGAGGTGTTTCAGAACTGGTCACTACGCATACCTTACTAATTGTTAAATATTCACAATATTACCCTTGGGGAAGGCATGGCAGTGTGAATTCTATGTATTCATTAGACATCCATAAATACCGTCAGTGAAGGCCCCCTAAGAAAACAAGGATTTGCCAGATGCCAGAGTCCCCTCCACAGCTGTCTGTGCTTAGATGCTAATACTGTTGTTCTTCCCTGGAATCATCGCATCCTGGACCAAAAACAAGGCCAGTTTTACAATGGCTCTAGGAGCCTGAAGAGAAAGCAAGACTCTTGAGGAGTTCAAGCAAACACTGACGACCCTGGTCTCCATCTGGAACAGACTCACCATCTAGGAGAAAGATAGCTTTCTTCTAAAGCTATATGAAATGAGAATAAGGAAAAATATAGATCTATTTTAAATAAAGCCCTCAATTTCCAATAAAGATGGAAGATGGAACACAAATATTTAATTTCTACTCCCTCTTTGAAACCTCACTAATTTTTTTTGGGGGGGGCAGTTGTTTTGTTAATCTTTTTAAGCATAAACCATAATAAAAAAGAGAGATTCATAGCACCAAAATTTTGAAAACTGGAAAGACCAAGTGTTAATTAATTTGGCAAAAACAAACAAAAAGCCCAAACCCAAAACCCCAACCCTCTCCCCTAAAAAACCCTGAATTATAGAAAGCCATGAGTTAATATAATTTACCCTGCATAACCCCTAAATTTCAGGAACTAGAAGATCCGGGGCTGGAACTGGGGCTCTAAACAGGAAGGTCAGTTGGAAGTCTGTTTAAGAAACAAATATCCAGAGTCAGGCAGTTGCCCATCTCCTAGAGAAGCCAGGAAGGTTTATTCCCTGGAGATCAGACAGGATAGGGAGGAGTAGGAGTAAGATCAGACAGTCAGGGCTCCCTTTCTGAAAAATGGAAGGATTAAGTAAACTCCTACATGTTGGTGATAGTGAGTAATCACCCCTAATTTCTGTTTTTCAAAGATGAATTTTCACATCAGAAGTTTGTTAAATACAACTAAACTAAAACAATTTAAAAAGATGGTTACCTGTCATATGGTGGAAGTCCCACAATTGCTAATCCATATCCTTGAAGCCAGATAGATTTCAGAATTCAGAAAGAGTGTGTGTGTGTGTGTGTGTGTGTGTGTGTGTATGTGTATATATAACACCTTACATTCTGAGTGGGGGCTGGGTAGCCCGTGGTAATTAAACACATTAATATTTCTGCAATGAAATGTTATGACTGAACAGTCACACTAGGTAGGATAAAGAGTAAAACTAAGTTTTGCTGTTTGTGTCAAGTTTTGCTCACACCTTAGTTTTAATGCCAAACATTTAAGAAACAAAACAAAACAAAAACTTTTTGATTTTCAGAGCTTTTTTGGATTTTAGAATTTTAGAAATGGAATCACAGACCCATACTTGAATATAAGGCCTACCCTTCCAACCTGATGTGATTTTTAAAATAAATTACTCAAGTTTTCTGTGCCTTATTTTCTTCCATAAAACAAATTAAAGTAGGGCAAACATCTTCACAATTAGATAATAAAAAGTTCAAGTTGTTACCTCTTTTGTTGAGTTTTTTATTATTCAAATAACTAATCAAGAACAGTTGAACAGATTATCCAAACCAGTTTTGGTATCCTGTGAGTATATGGCTGACAATAATCCTTTGGGTGGGCACTGAGCACTCTTTCTTGATGGTGAGGATCTTCAACAGCACCAAGAAGACTGAAGAATTCAACTACAAACAAAACACAGGCCAAACAAGTCCACACAAAACAGTGACTTACATGGAGTCAGCTGTCAGTGTCTCAGGCTATTTCCCTATTTATGCCACTCCCCTGCATGTAGACCTTCACTCTCCCCCACAATCCCCACATCCTGCCTGGTCCCACCTCATGTGACAGACAGAGGCAGTCTCCCTGACAGTGCCTGACCTCCTGTCTTTAAATCCACACCTGGGGATCCCTGGGTGGCGCAGCGGTTTAGCGCCTGCCTTTGGCCCAGGGCGCGATCCTGGAGACCCGGGATCGAATCCCACGTCGGGCTCCCGGTGCATGGAGCCTGCTTCTCCATCTGCCTGTGTCTCTGCCTCTCTCTCTCTCTGTCTCTCTGTGACTATCGTAAATAAATTTTAAAAAAAAATTAAAAAATAAATAAATAAATAAATCCACACCTGTACTCTGTCCCATTCCCTGAGGATCCAGCTATTTACACTAGAAAGTTCATAATAAATACACTAATTCATGCAAATGTGTTACCAAGTTTGTGGAGTCAATGTGTTGCTCTCCTAGATAACACAATTTCTGTTCTGCCTGGGACATTTCAAAGACAATGCTGGCACCCAAGGGGTATTTAGAGAAGGGGAATTAACCCTTCTAAGAGCCTATTATTTTTCAGGCACTATGTTAAGTACTTTGCACAAGTTATGTCGCTAATCCTCATTTAATATTCTCTTGACAGGTTGCTATCATAAATCTTTTTTGCAGGTGAAGAAATTGAGGCTCTGAGAGGGTGTCTTGTTTAAGATCACACAGCCAGACAGCAAGAGCTACAAGATGGGAACACATCCTCATTCCAGCACTCTGCCCCACCTCTTTACCCAAGCAACAATAAAACACCCTAGCAACCAGCAGCAGGAAGAGGATCTTGAAATAGGCAGGGACTTGGGGCTCCTAGAGCCAACCACATTCTCCTATTTCCCCCCTTATACATTTCTTTTTTTTTTTTTTTTTTATTTACGATAGTCACAGAGAGAGCGAGAGGCAGAGACACAGGCAGAAGGAGAAGCAGGCTCCATGCACCGGGAGCCCGACGTGGGACTCGATCCCGGGTCTCCAGGATCGCGCCCTGGGCCAAAGGCAGGTGCCAAACCGCTGCGCCACCCAGGGATCCCCCCCTTATACATTTCTATCTACCCCTTGAGGCCCACTAATTAGTACATTATGCCAAACACAAAACAGGGAGGCATGTTCTCATCATAATTGTTAAAAAAAAAAAAAAAAACCTGTACATAGCTACAACACTCATAAAGTTCCTCCATAAGAACAGATTAATAATTAGTGGTGACTGGTCTGTAGGAGAAGGCCAAAAAGCAGTGTAGCATGAATGTGAAAGATGAATATAATAATCAAAAGTATATTCCAGAAAGTGTCCTTGACACAATATATCCAAATTTAGCAGATGGAAATGACTCGTGAATTGGCCACAGCCAAATATGTCCATGCTGGCTGCGTGCAGCTTGTATTGTACTGGTGTCACGTTGGGGCTGCCTCATGAAGGAGGGAGGGAAAACACTTCTTCCTAACTTCAGTCCTAACATAAACTCCATGAGGGCAGGACTGTTTTCACTGCTATAGCCCCCAGGTATCAAACAATGTCTGGATTGAGGCTACTCAATAAATAGTTGTTAAATGAATAAATGAATTTCTTCACCTGCTTTCTCTGGAATTCCTCTTAGCCTTTTATCCCTTCTCAGACTACATTAATCCCACATTTTCTAGTAGTCCCCCAAATCTCAAACTCTTCTCCTGTTCCTTTAGTCCTTCTCACAGCAGAACCAGGTTTAAAAGAAACAAAAACACGTTTATTGGGTATATGTATATTTCTAGCTGAAAAATGGAAACACAGAAAACTCTTAGAAATAAAATTAAAAGGAAGAAAGAAAACATATGGTAAATGCAGAGTGCATTCAATTCTTCTTATCAAAACCATGCACATATATACCAAAATCATAGCAGCTGTGTTTATTTCCTAATTTAGGCATTTGAAAAAAAAAGTGCAATGTGTTTATTTTAATGTCAGCTTGATGTCAAGTTTAAAATAGAATGTAAATCTGTCTACATGTTTTACCTCCTTTCTAAAGAATTTTTTAATATTTAAATATAACCTCTATCCCTAACTCCCAGTTTTTATCACACAACAATCTGGGGTGGAGGGGCGGGGGTGGTAATCCCTCATAAACTGTGTGTTGACAGAATGCTCTAAAATATGTTCTAACCAATAAAGTTGAGAAATAAATTTGGCAACAACAATCTAAGCTTTGTTGTTTTTCACAAAAAGATCTACATTTAAAGGAAATAGAAAATCACATGTGCAATAGCACACAGGGTTGCTATGGTAATAGACTACATTTTTTATATTTACTCTTCAATTTTGGTACATGGAGCTATTACAACCAAATAATGTCAACATCCACTTCCTTCTGATCATACAGAAGTCTCTGGAATAAGTTGTACTTACAGTTCTAGAAATTCTCATTTTTAACCAATCTTCTTCTGTCTTTTCTAGAAATTATAATTAAAATATATAAAATAATGATTAATATTTGGCATTGGGGTTAAGTTTATCATTTATCATCATTAAACTCATGTAGGAACATTCTCAAAATGGCAAAATAAACCTTATAACCACAAATGTCCACTTAAACATTTAAAATATTGGGGTTGTGGGGGCATCTGGGTGGCTCAGTTAGTTAAGCATCAGCCTTCAGCTCAGGTCATCAGGTCATGATTCTGAGGTCCTGGAATCAAGCCCCTAGTTAGACTTCCTGCTTCTCCCTCTGCCCCTCCCCACCAGCTTATGCTCATTCTCTAATGAATAAATAAAATCTTAAAAAATAAAATATTGGGGTTGGTGTATGAGTGTGTAAGTGTATGTGTGAATGTGTATGAGTGTGTGTGTGTGTGTGTGTGTGTGTGTGTGTGTTTAGGCAGCAATAAATTCTCCATGGAGATTGAAAAGAAATAAGAAGTTTAGAAAAATGTTACTTAGTTTTACTAACTGGGCACATAAAACAAATCTACTTTTCCCACAGCTGTGCTTATATGAACCATTAAGAAATACCTACTATCCTGCACTATATAATTTTATGTTACACTAAACCTTGCTTTTACCATTTATCTCACAATGTACCCCTAGCATTGCCTCTGGGAATATTCAAATAACTATCAACTAATGTCAACTCTCTCCCCATTACATTATACGGTGTGCTGCCTTCTCCAGAATTTCTATTACCTTTCTAATCTTCCCCACCAGTGTTCCTCCACCTACCTGGAAAATTAACAGCCTGTCAGAATGGTCATGTCTCTCACTATGGACCAACAGAAAATACCAATAATGAGGTGCTCCCAAGTCAAGTAAATATGAATCTAATTTGTAGCTATTACTCTATCATAGCAGGATAAGTTTGAGGGCTGGACAGAAGATGTAATGAAGAAAGGGCTCTCCTAAAATGGGCACCTGAGTAATCCACAGTAGGCCCTTATACCAGCCTACATTACAGCAAAGTTAGGGAATTAAACACAGTTTTCTCTTTGGAACTAACTGAAAGAGCATATATTAGCCACCCATCAACATACAGTCTTTCTCTAATTTAATATAAGAGATGTAGCCCTTCATACTACATTTGATGATCAGGTTTTGTCCAATTGTTTGTTGTGTTTTTGTTTTTGTTTTAAGAAATCAGTTAGAGAAGTTCTTCTTTGAAAGCCATAAAAATATACCTCTAGTGAAGTCTTCCATTGCAAATAGATCATCTTCAGTGTCTTCCAGTCAAGGGAAACCACACAGTCATCAGGCATCAAAGATTCTGTGAAAATAAAAGTGAACAAATTTCATCTCCAATGTCATACAGATTTTTTACCCTAAATGTGAAGATATGCAAACATGATATTTAGACTGACATAATGGTAAGAACCTGGTTTGGAAGATATTTCACTGATGGCTAGAGCAGGAGTTAGTTTATCTCAGGCCTTTATTAGTAAACACTATCCTGACACAATGGAAATGCTTATTTATACATGTAAAGCGATATGTATCATAGTTCAAATTTTCATTAAGTAAAAATATATATCAATAATAAATATATTATAACACACATTATATATTTGCTTCAAGTGGCATTGTCACAGGGCATAGAAATTCAGGTAGTTATCCCTTCCCGTGACAGGTAGAAACAGCACAACTATAGCAAGTTCAGTCTTACTGTAAACTATTCCTTCCACATAAGAGTGTCTGGGGAAAAATCCTCACAGATAATTAAGATGTTCACAAATAAGTCCAAACACTGATATATACATATCAGCCATATCAAATCACACAAAATATTTTTCCTATACACACATGTCCCTGGCAATAAGAGTAGTTTGGTTTCTTCAGACCTGTGTGTGGCTTTATATATAATTATAATACCTCCTAATACTAGGATTCATTTGAGCTCCCTGCTTCATTTACAAGGCCACTAGCCCTACATGCATCAAAGCTTTGCTTCTCCAACTTGGCCAAACAAATCAGTTGACAGTTTCCACTTAAGTTTTTCCTCTCCTTTTTTAAGCACCCACAATATCCAAATGTGAAATTCTTTCCCTATATATTTTTTAAGCTACATTTGTATAAGCACTGCTTATAATTCATTTTCACATTAAAGCCATCCCCCAAAAAACCATAACCCCATATTCTCTTCAACAATCCCTTAAGCACTGCTAACCTTGCTCATAGAATATTCATAAGTTTGTCATTTATATTTTCTGTGTGCAATAATTTTGTTTTGTGTTAGTCTTGCTCCCCATTTAGAAGGTAAGCTATTTGATGAATGAGGTCTATTTCCTCTGGAAAGCTTTCCAAAGCTTAATTAATGGATGCTTGATCATTACTGTTGATTATGATGGTGCATTCAAGGGAGGAGGAGGTTTAGAATCTTTTCTCACCAGTGCCTTCATGTTTTCTGATGTTAATTTAATACAGTGATTGTTAATCTTTTCAAGTCATGCACTGACACCCCCTCCCCTGCCCCAGAAAGTGATAAAATCTATTAACTTTCTCAGAAAAATGTTCAAAATGACACAAAAATTTTTGCATACATTTAGAATATGGACCTAGGACTAAGACCCCTGACCTAAAATGACTTCACTTATCTTTCAAAATTCCCTAAAGCAAATGCATTTTAATTTTTTTAATTGGTATATTTCTCCAGTGTGTCTAGGATAGCATACTGCAGCAAACAGTTTAAGAAGTGATTATTCACAGTTTACAAAAATGATAAACATAATGCTAGACCCTCAAGAGCAGGTTAATAACTGCTTGATGCCTCACCCTGAGACTTAGCCAGTCTTGGGTCTGGGATCTGGGCCCCAATTTTGCCCAGAACAGCAGAAATTTAGGAGCAATGTAAAAACCTCTGAAAGATAAGCTCTGAGAGAAGAGCAGGACCCAGAGACCCTGGTATGGGTCCTCTACTCCTGGTATGTTTAGAAAAGAAAGAATATCAAGAAGATACAGGAGAACTGTGGGGAATGGAGCTTTGACTTCTTGGCTCTTACAGTTTCTGTCCCCAAGGAAGAGGACACATTCAACTCAATTAAATCACTAACACTGCAACTGATTTACAGGTAAGGAAAAATTGGAATATGTGTTCAATTTCCTAAGACTTTTGGCATCTTAAATATATGTATTATTTAGAAGTTTACTTAGAATTTTACTCAGGATACTACAAAAACATTTTAATGTGTTTTAATAATAGGTGGATTTTTCATTTCCAAAAACAAGAGCCAGAAGGAATCTTTGTATCTTTTTCAGATAGTTTTAAAAATTCAACTTATTTCAGATATTTTTTCATCATTTAACCTTCACATTTCCACCCTCTTTACTATTCTGTTATCTATGAGCCATACTACACATGAGAAAGGAAAGGGCCATTTGCCAAACAAGGGAAATGTATAAAATAGGAAGATTAAAAAAAAAAAGGGTAACCCATCTTTATTTGTTTCATTACTGTTCGCCTGCCTCATCCTTTGTTCTTCTCAGTGTCTATTTATATAGAGAGTCCAAGGATTCTAAGTGCTCAAAGACATTTAAGACTGCTGGTCCTTGAGGTGGAGGCCGGCACATGACTGAAGATCAAGCACCATTTGCTATGGGTCCTCTACGTCTACTGCTGAAAAGTGAAGGGAGATCAATTAACTGCATGAAATCACTAATACAGGGTAGAAAAACTTCAAAAAACTACTCATATATGTTAAGATGAACTTTTTTTTTTGGAGGGAATAAACATAATTTACCCATTGGAACTCCGGGGGATCCAAAAAGCTTTACTAGTTGAAAGGCAAACACTTGTGATAATTGCAGCTCAAGGGAATCAAAGCCAGTGCTTGTTAAATCTTGGTCATCCTCAGTTTGCAAGAACTGTAAGGGCTTAGGTTCTTCCCATGTCTTCAGCCTTTTGTCGAAACTTTCACTTAAAAAGTGAAGATCAGAAGTGACCCTAAAAGAGTGGAAAGGATCAGGTTGGCTACTTAAAATTTCTGAAGAACTAAATCCTCGGTCACTTAGTTGGTTATCTACTCTTGTCTGAGACTTGAAAGTCAAAAATGATTTCTTGCTTGTAAAAGATACCATCTGAAAGCTAGCTGTATATTGTAGCACAAGAGAAGGAATAGGGTTTTTGTAAAAATATACAGAGTGGCTTAGTCTATTAAATGGCAGGTAATAAGAATAAGATTGTCTACCAACATTTAGAGGAAGATCTTTGATAATATCAAAGTAAAACCACGATGGATGATGATGATGATTCAAGGTCATAAGTTTTCGTGTATTCTCCTTTTTATGATTTATTTCTGAAATTCTATCTTTTTCTTCTTCCAAAATAATTTCTAGTCCTTTGCTTTCTGTTGACAAGCCACATGACCCTCTTTCTTTTACATTGATATATCTCTGTTCCAGTAAGTTAAAATTTGGTGCCAAATTGAAAATCCTTTTCTCTCTCCTTTTCTTATTCTTTGTTGAGTGTAAGTCACTCTTTGGGATATCCAGTTTAGGCAAGCAGATTCTAATGATACTTGTTTCACTTTCTATGAATGAATCTGTATTCTCAGTTGGAGGTGACAAATCTTCATTTTCTATCAATAGTTTCTCCTCTATCAATGTTTCTGGACAGCTCCTTGATACTGAAGTTTCTTCACAAGCAGAGATCAATGTAATCAATTGTCCCCTGCTGTCCGGAGAGACCAGCTTTTGCCATCTATCTTTCTTTGGTCTTTGTTCACATATAAACTTATGAGGTCCCTCAGGCCAGCTCCCTAAACAGGGTTGTCTCTCAGAGCCCATCCATAATTCTTCATCAGTTAGATTGTCTGGAAAAAGAGCCCAATAGTTGTTTTTAGTTGCATTTATTCCTTGTTTCTTTCTTAAATCTTTCTCTGAAGTTCTGGACCCATACTGATGGCAAAGAATTGTTTCATTTGTGAGTCTTTTATCTACTTTCTCTCTCTTCTGCATAGATAAGCAGGAGATGTCAGTGGATCCACCCTGGATGTCTGATGCCATGGGTTGCCTATTTCCAGTATGCTTTCCTATCTTCATGTAGTCATCACTTGCTACGCAGGAAAGATCCTGAGTCATTGTCAGGCAAGTAACAGAGTTTTCATTTGACATCAGTGACATATTTAGAAACAAATCATTGTTTTCTTTAGAGAGGTAATTTTTTGGTGCATTTTCCCGCTCAATTTCAGATGTAACATTTGGAAAACTCTCTTCAGGATTTATGCTTTTCCACACCTCATCTTTGTGGCCATTTACTAAATCTCTTAGTTCATCTCCCAGCCCACCAGTGAAGTCATGCACTGATTCTCTTTTGGTGTCTTCCAGGTCTTCCTCTTCACTCTGGGATGGGTCCTGATCCCCTGGTATATGGTAACTTAAGATTTCAAATGAGTTTTCTCCCATGATTTTACTATGACTGTTCTGCTTTTTATTTCTTTTTCTGTTTCTCTTCTGTTTGGTTTTGCTGAGCCTGTGCCCAGTTTTCTTCAAATCTCTTTCTCTGAAATATAAAAGAGTTAAGAACATTTATCACTTAATTATTTGTATAACACTAGCAACTAAAACATACTCTTAATGTGCAAATCACTAGTACAAGAGATTTTAAAGCATTGTGTACTTTGTAGTATAGTTTTAAAATTTTAAAAAGAGAAAAACTTTAATTCTCTCAACTAAAAATGAGTACACTTTGAGGAAGTTACAAGACATTTTCACATACTTGTTTCATAAATCAGTAACTTACAAATTACAAAGCACATTTGATGACAAACAGCAAAGTCCAGGGTTTGCAGATGCTTCTAATTGCCTACCTCGCAGTGGTTCTAAAGCAGAGGTTCTATCACTACTTAATGAGGTTTGTAAGTCTGTAGAGGCATTGTAGGTGGTCACAATGACTGGAGATGTGTTACTGGCACTTGGTACTGAGGCCAGGGGTGTTTACCTTCCTGCAATGCCAGGGACAATACCACAGTAAAAAATTATCCCACCTAAAAGAATATAGTGTTCTTTATTCCTACTATAATAGTATTTCCATTGACCACACTAAAAGTTCACAGTTCTCCTTAATTGAAGATAATCTTTTGATTCCAAAAGAAAAGAAGGGGGATTTAGAACATTATCTAATTTAGAACATAAAGATCTAGTTATCTTCTATAAGGTACAGATAGAGACATAGTAAAATGCAGTGGGGGGAAAGACAATAGACACAGCTGAGAAAAAAAAAATCCAGGATAGAGAACAGAAACAAAACAACAAACAACAAACAATTAAACAAGCAAACAAACATGGAAGCCAAAAGAAATAATGAAGGAAAAATTCAGTTGACTGGCTGGGTGTTGGACAAAGGAACTTGTTGAATCTACCCCTGTCTTCTGGTCTGGTTTATTTCATCCCATGCTGTCAGGCAATTTTCAATAGACAGGAGCCCTGAACACCTTGTTCTTTGTCACCTAATTGCTACTGCCCTTGTTTCCACATTCCTGGATGTTAGCATAGAAAGAACATTAAGGAATGCTAAATTACTGAGGAGAAGTTGTGATAGGACTTCTGTAAAAAAGATATCAAGTAAAGAATGCCAACATTGGCAGTAACTCATCATGGTCAGGAAAAGCTGATTCAGTGAAAGCTTTAGCAGAAGCCTAAGGTGCAATAAATTAATGGAACTCATACTATAGACTAGGATGTTACTCTAAAAACAAATTCCATTCTCTTTGCCCAAACATGAACCATCCTGTTGCAGGTAAAGGAGGAAAAGAATGGGTAGAGTTTATTGTTGCCTTATTTACTAAAATAAATGGTAATAGACTGAGGACTTTAAACTCATGTCAGGACTAGTGATTCTATGGAGATAAATGCACTTACTTACACTTTTAAACAGCTTTCCATGGCACAAGGAAAAGGGAGCCCTAATCCATGTAAATGGAGTTTTTTTTCTCAGCATAAGGATTATATTTATTTTTTTTATCACTACATTAGAAGTGAAAATAAACTGCAAGTTGCAAATGCATGCCACTTAATGAATATTGAACAACATATACATCCACTGTAGAACAACAGATACATCCACTGTAGAATATTGAACAACAGATACATCCACTGTAGCTTAACTTCTGGAGATGCAAGGACTACATAAACAAAGGTCATCAATGGTAAGATGACTGACAGCATCTGACAGCTAGAATGTATGTATCAATAGAAAATTTTAAAAATCGAACTACTCCTGACCTCTGAGCCAGTGAATAGGGGTGGGAAGACATCAGAAGATGCCTAAAATCTCTACACACACATAGGTTTATAAACAAACAAAAAAAAAGCCCCAAACTAAGACACTAAGCAATGCTGATATGTACGGTTCATGACAAAAATGTTAATAACTTTCTATGATATCAGGAATCATAATGCCCACAATGTGACTTTGAAAACTGACTCAAAAAAACAAACTACTGCATATTTGCTATGTATTAAAACTAGTTGCTTTACACATATTAACTCATATAATTTTCATAGCAATGATACTTGCCTTACTTCACAACAGTAAGGCAAATGCTAGTTTTATCCCCATCTCAAAAAGACAATTGAAAAAAAGAATTTAAAGAGTTTGCTCAGCTACAGCGACTGTGGAAAACAGTATGGAGTTTCCTCAAAAAATTAAGGACAGAACTATCAAATGATCCAGTAATTCCACTGCTGAGAATATTGAGAATGTATCTGAAGGATACAAAAACACTAACTCAGAAAGATATCTGCACCTCTATGTTTATAGCAGCATTATTTACAATAGCCAAAACAGAAACAACCTGAGTATCCATTGAGAGATGAATAGATAAAGAAGTGGTATATAGGGGATCCCTGGGTGGCTCAGTGGTTTAGCGCTGCTTTGGCCCAGGGAGAGATCCTGGAGTCCTGGGATTGAGTCCCTTGTCGGGCTCCCAGCATGGAGCCTGCTTCTCCTTCTGTCTGTGTCTCTGTCTCTGTCTCTGTCTCGTGTGTGTGTGTCTATCATGAATAAATAAATAAAATCTTTAAAAAAAAAGAAGTGGTATATATATATATATATATATACATCACACATCTACACATACACACACACACACACACACGGAATATTATTTCCTCACTAAAAATGAGGAAATCCTATCATTTGCAACAACATGGTTGGAACTTGAAGGCATTATGCCAAATGAAATAAGTGAGACAGAGAAAGGCAAATACTATATGATCTTACTTATATGTGACATTTAAAAAACAAAACAAAACAGGAACACCTAGGTGGCTCTGTGGTTGAGCATCTGCCTTCTGCTCTCCTTGTGATCCCAGAATCCTGGGATCAAGTCCCACATCAGGCTCACCACAGGAAGCCTGCTTTTCCTTTTGCCTATGTCTCTGCTTCTCTCTGTGTATCTCTCATGAATAAATAAAATCTTAAAAAAAAAAAAACCAACCAAACCAAACCAACAAACCAAAACCCCCAGTCACAGATAAGGAGATCAGAGTTGTAGTTACCAGATGTTGGGGCCTGGTGGAGGAAGAATTAAAGGAAGGTGGTCAAAAGGCACAAACTTCCAGTTATAAGATAAATAAGTCCTAGGGATGTAATGTACAACATGATGACTATTACTAACACTGCTGTGTGGCATACAGAGAAGTTGTGAAGACAGCAGATCCCAAGAGTTCTCATTACAAACAGGATTTTCTTTTTTTTTTAATTGCATCTATATAACATGATAAAATGCTAACTAAACCTTATTGTGGTAACCATTTAACAACATATATAAATCAAACTATACATGCTATATACCTTAAGTTTATATGATGATAGATGCCAATTATTTCTCAATAGAACTGGAAAAAGAAAAAAATTTGCCCAGTGTCACATGGCTACCGGCAGGATTCAGACTAAAGCTGTCTCTGAGAGGCCACACTCTGACCATCATGCAAAACTGCCTCTTGATTTTAAAAAAAGAGAATTTTATAAAATCACTTCCCTTCTCTTTCTTCTCTCCTTCCTTTCATCTTTGAATTGTCACATATACATAAACACAGAGATATTCAGTTGATAAGGGCTGAATCCTTCCAATGGAAATAGCAATTGGGCCTTGACTCCTATTACCACCTAGTAGTGACTATAGACTTTTCTCTTGTCCTCTCTCCTTCTGAATCAAAGCAAATAATAAACAGCAACAGAAATTGAGAGGAAATGGTGTGGAGCAGAACAATTCCCATCTCCCTAATCAGCCTTTATGTCAAGGGTCCCTATGAGTTTTAGGTAGATGGCCTAAAACTCAGATAGGCATAATGGACATAAGGGTCTTCTTCTGGAGTTAATTCATTTGTCACAGGGTAGAAGTAGTGAGAAATGATCACATTCTGGATATATTTTAAAGGAAAAGCAAGCAAGTCTTGAAAATAAATTGGATATAGAGTATTAGAAAAAGGTCAAGTATGAGCAAAAGGATTTGGGCCTATTGAAGGGACAAAATGACCATTTATTGAGACATAGAAAGAAGCCTATGAAGGGTATAGGTTTAGAGACAGGGTTGCCAAATCAGTTGGCTCAAAATTCAGTTCAGAGTTTGAACCAATAAGTTAATCTGTCCTTATAGCAGCGGTTAGAAAGTGGAGAAGATGAGGGCTTTGCCAATATACCTCAAGTGTTCTTTTGTTTGTTGAATGGATTACAATCCGATAGCTACTTAGAGAAAGAATAGTAGAAACCTGCTAATGATAAAAATTCATGTTTGTAGAGAAGTTAACATAGATCATGAAAGAATGAGATAGCTTAAAAAATAAACTATCAAAGTCTGAGAGATCAGGCCATTTATTAATGTAGTTTGCTAAAAGAGTCAGCCAAAGGAGACCCTAAGGATAGGAATTTCAACTGAAAATACAGCACAATGCCAAGAAGTATGAAAATCAAAAGGCTGACTCCACAGAGAAGTGTGCCTGCAACTTGTACTGGTTCTGTACCATGAAGCTCTCTACAGCTACCATACTTGTTCTGGTACTTGGACCAGTCCTTCTAGAAAGGAAACACAAACCAATAACTGACTTGTGAAGCACTTGGGAGAGAGGAAAAGGGATGATGATGATAATTTGACTTAGAATGTGTAGGCATGGAAGGTGGCTAATCAATAGTAGATGTATTTATAAAGTGTGGGAGGCTCATCAAACCTGTGCCAAGGCTCATTAAGCTTGATCTCATTTGTGCTGATTCATTTAGGGATGAATGGCACCATTAAAAGAAAAGAAACATGACTACATAGAAGTTAGCCATGGAGAAGAAATCAGGAGAGTTGGAGGCACAGGCTGTATCTTAGAAAAGAAAAGAGTAAGAAATGAATAGTAACACATCTCTGATTAATAATATTTTGTTTTCTAGATGATGGCTGAGAATCCAAGCTCCTGGGTAGGAATGAGTGTACCTCTTAAGAATGAGAAAAGGAGTGTTTGTTCAGAAACAAGCTAACCTGACCCAGTAAGCTGTGACTTGAAGACAGAGGTGAG